CTAAAATAATGGAAAATGGCAGCCATTTTAAATTGTAATAGCTCAAAAATGTGTACAATATTTAGTCAACTGTTGCTGTCATTGTTATAAGTGGATTTCCAATTGAATACTGCATTTTAATGACATAAATTTACAATATTAGTGACAATTTTATGAAAAAAATGGCGGCCATTTTGAAACGCCCTGCAATCCCCCTTACATATGAAAAAAAAAATGTTGCACATACTTTTTTGATTTATCTATGTCTACTCTACATCATATCGAATTTTTAAAAAATATAGCAAAAGAAAATGCAACCAACCAAAGTTTCCTGGACTATTTAGTGATAATTTTTTACAGGTTTTTGTGGGACTTAAAGAAAATATCTGAGGTCTGGGATGAAGAAAATGTGTATTTAATAATGTACTTTTTTATTATTTTATTTAGTATTCTTTTAAAAGGACCATTTTAAAAGGTGTTTGGCTGCCATATTTATCGGATAAGTGTTTTGCATGATCACGGTCACACATTCTAATGATGTCAGGTGTGATCCCTTTTACTTTATTTAGTTTATGTATATAAAAGTTATATAAAATATAATTGTTGACAGTGTTCAATGGTCAATTCGATAAATAATAAACACCAATTCAATAAAAATGTGCTTTTTCTTTTGGTCATAAGAAGAGAAATGCTTATTATTATTATGGTCAGTCAAGCCCTCTAAGAATATCTGAAAATTAAAAACTAAAAAAAAAAAATCGAAAGATTTATTGTCAAAATAGTATATAAATGGTACCCTCTTTCTTACATGGTCAGTCAATTTCCACGCGCCAAGGGCCCAGACTGTATTTTTGAACCAGGGCCCCTCACAACTTAGTTACGCCACTGCATAAAGTAGACGACTCATTGGACACCGATTCGTATATTAACGCGTTGCGTAGATTTATAGCTCGTCGAGGCCAAGTTAAAAAAATAAGATCAGATAACGGGACTAACTTTGTAGGTGCCGAACGTGAACTGAAGGCAGCGATTACAAAACTAAATGCATCTAAAGTTATAATAACGTAATATCGACTGGAGATTTAACACACCAGCGAGAACTCATCACGGTGGCGTATGGGGCACCAAATAAGATCTGTTCGAAAAATTATGAACAATTTAGTAAAAGAACAGAGATAAAGCGAGGAAGGATTTAGAACGCAATGTGCGAAGTGCAGTCAATAATCAACGAAAGACCTATATTAAACTAAGTTATCTAGTCGCCCTAATGACCCAGAAGCTTTACATCCAAATCATTTGCTGTTGCTGAAATCCTAACCAAGTTTAGCACCTGGCTTGTTTAAGGAGAACGATCTGTACTGCAGACGACGTTGGAGACAAGTGCAGTATATGAGCAACGTTTTCTGGAAACGGTGGATACGCGAGTGTTGCTACAAGAGCGTAAAAAATGGACCGTTACAAAAAAGAACTTGCAAAACGGAGATGTTGTATTAGTAGTTGTCGATTCAAATGCCCCTAGAAATTCATGGCCCTTAGGAAAAGTCATCGAGACAATTCCAGATAAACATGGTCTTGTGCGTCAAGTAAAGATCAAAACGCAAACGAACACTTTAATTAGACCAATCAATAAATCATGTTATTCTTGAACAAGATTAATACCAATACCGGTAATACAATTGTTGGTTTGTGATGTGATATTTTATTCAGGATTTAATCAATTGCAAGGTATTGCAAAGATACAATCAATAGTTAGTTGATTTAACATGTAAATGAGTATATTTCTTAAAGAATTATAATAATTATATTGTGATAATTAACGTAAAATGTTATTCACCTTTTAGACAAACAATATTCTATATCGTTTCAATTGTATTCAAATTTAGTTGATTTACATTATTTTTTCAACGTTGGTTTATTTGAATGTGCTTTGAATATTATTATAATATATAATATGATTAAACATGATTTGTTCCTTCATTTGAATGTATTAATTTCGCTACATTTTAAGTACATTTGTTGATAGTGAATTTAGTTGGTTTTAATTATAACTTTTTTTAGAAACGATGTTTGCTCACGATATGTCTATTATCAGTTTTATCTTGACCTTTACAGTTATGATAATATTTGAGGTTTATTCATTACTTTGATTGCTCTATTGAAGTTTCAATGAACAATTTTTGCCCCTATTGTGATATAGTTGAGAACACCTGATTTGAAACAACCAGTCCTGGCATAGTTATGAATACATCTGAAATCAATAAACTTATATAACGTTTAATAACATTGAAAATTGAAAACTTATAAATACTGAACTATCAATGCATTTTGTGACAAATGAGGTCCTCAACAGAACGTAAACCAAGGATACTGAAGTCTGTGTACAGTACAGGATAATTCAAAGAGGGACGAAAAACAAGTAATCCTTCATTGAATTTCTCAAGTGAGGAAATACGACCCTTTTAATGATAAAGTCAAGGTGGAACATTATATTCAGTAAGGTCGGACAATAGTTTTAAATATTTATAATCATTTTAATTAAAAGGGTATTAAAAAAAAATGAGAGAGAACAGAAATAGGACACTTATCCGTTTTTAAGATGTGGTTGCTCCTCTAAAACCAAAATGGTTTGCATTCCAAAAAAGTTGGAAACTAACGATAACCTACCAAAATGAGAAACATTGGCGAGTCATGGTAAATATTAACAATTATACTTACTTATTTCATCCTTTTATAACCACGGACACTTATGCCGGACATAATTTGAGATATTATTAATTTTTAATTGTCACAGACAAATAACTATACTATATACAAAAGGTTACAACACGGATAATGTTATTCATGAATTATAGACGGGCCCATTATTTCTTCTTTCACAGATGTAGATAGTGCATGGCAGTGTTTTTCCGGCCTTTTCATTAATGTATTCAACAAGGTAGCTCCTTTGAAAACAATCGTACTGAGCAATGGATAAATGGTAAAATTCTTAACATAATTCGTCAGAATGATGACATTTTGATGAAGACGTTGGGACAACAAGGCGACCTCTTAGCTAAGTATCGTAAATTAAAAAACAAAGTCCTAAGAATCAATATTTTGTCAATAAGAGTAATGAAAACAAAAACAATTATATTTTTTAAAAGTATTACGGTACATACAATTTATTTTAACGAATATGTTGTCCTTTTCCTGAAAACAGTAATATTTTGTTATTCTCTTTCGTCTCTTGAATCAAATTGTTTCTGTGAAAATGCAAATAATCTACCAATAATATGTCAAGATCAGGTGCATGCTTTTTGTAATTTCTAACAGAAAAATTAATTAATTATTGAGAAAACACAGATGAGACGCGAATCCAGTAGGGGGAACATGGCCGGTGCCTCGCGCCTAGACTGCCTAGGCCTCTCGACTATGATGATTAAGATAACAACAAGAGATATGACTAGCAGAGCAGCCATTTCGCTGCAACCTACTGAAACCTTACATGATCCGCAAGATTTGTTGTGCCCCCCCCCCAAATGTTCTGGATCCGCCACTATTAGATGGTTGTTGTGAACGTCCTACATGAATATATCGATATATTAGTATATATCACTAATAACCTGCATGGATAAGCTCTGAACTATTAAAACGTACCGATTAACGCTGCCATTCGACCATTTGAAGACGTTATGACTGGAAGACAAACTGAAGGAACAGCAGCGATGAAGTTCATAACGCCGTATTGTAGCGTTCTTGAAATAGGAAGAATATCAGAAAATATCGCGCTACCAATCCTTCCACATAGGTCTGCTAACCCCATCAGTGCTAGAGTAAGTGAAATAGAAGGGTTACTCATGCCCGCATCGACGAGGAAACTGCCCTGTGAGATGAAAGCATTATAAAAGTTAAGGAAAAGAACAACTAACTATTTATTATTTTTAAGTGGTCTCACTGTAGAGGTTGTAAGTCGATATTATTATTATCCGTGTTCGTTAAGGCAAAAAAAAAAAAAAAAAATTGTGTTGGCCACGTTTTGGGAAAATCCAAAAAATGGGTAGGTCGGTAAAAAAACTTTTTTTTTTACAACCAAATATGAGTTTACGCCTAAAATGTAGAAAATACGCAAATAAGGCAACAAATTTGGATTGGCATCGCGTACCATCCAGCAAAATAGGCTAGATTAGGCCCCCTAGGCCTCAAGGCTATTCTCCAGCCTTATTTACTCATAAAGAAATATTGCTCTTGACAAAAAAAAAAAAAAATGTCGATCCTTACTGTAATTTGTAAAACATGGGTCGGTCGGGCGTGGCCAACACAATAATTTTTTTATGTTCAAAATATTATAGGTACTAGAGGTATAAAATGATCGTTAGCTTCAATAGACAGCTCTATGGTTGATAAGCATTAACTTAAATCTTCAGACCCTCTAAATGTATCTGCAAAGAAATCTTCAGACCCTAAATGTATCTGCAATACCGTAAATGCTCGAATAAGCGCCTCACCAAACGGCGCTTAATCGAGAGCATTAGCCTACCCAAGGTGTAAAGAAATACTTTGAGAAACAGGGTTTTAAATACAATGTATACCGTGTTAAAATGAAGACACAAGCATTTCTTTATAAACGTTTATTTATGATTACGTAGGACCTATGATAGGCCTACCGAACTACGGGAATACTTCAGATAGGTAACATGAGAACGGCATGGGACAGGGGTAGGGCCAGCGGATTGCCGGGGATAGCCCCCCCCCCACCCACCACATCGGGGAGAAAAACCACAATTTGTTGGGGAGAAAAAAAATGCATATGCATTTTTTTCATATTAGTAGATCCCAAAACTGATTAAATAGGCTGAAGTCTTTGAAACCCCTAAATTATCATATTTTTCAGGGGCTTTTGAGATTTTGAGTGACATCGGCTTCCCGTCTGGACCCCCCGTCGGGCAAATTCTGGCGCCACCACTGGCATGGAAAGCCCCACGCCAATATGTTTTTTATAAGCGCCGCTCTCAAATATGCGCCACCAAAAATGTTATTACGGTAATAGTAAAAACTCACAATTCCTATGAACGTAAAAGACATTGCGGTTGCAGCTAATAAACAACCTGGTGCAGCAAATAAGAAGTCTCGCCTTCTGAAGACATCAATGCACCTGGCTATGAAAGATGTCTGAGGTACTGCCTCCTGTGTAATATAGTTTTCTTCTTTTTCGTCTGAGTGTTTCACCACCGCCGGGTTCATTTCTACCATTACGAGAGCGGATAGATACCCGATGATGGCGTACAAAACACACAAAATCCTCAAAGAACCTCTCCACGAATACTCCAAGTATAGCCAATCCAAACACGGGGCCAATAGGACACCTATAGAATATTATGTGATAATTGTGTATTGATCAGATGCGGCATGTAATCAATTATCAACGTTTGGCATTCGAAAGCTAAGAGGTTTGCCTGGAAAAACCAATAATAAAATCTAGTCCATTGATGCATTTTCATCTGAAAAAACTGACAAACATTATTAAAATAATTTTTAAATTGAATTTACTCATTTTGAATTAAACATAAAAAATAATCAAGCGGATTATAGAAAAGTGTATAAAAGATTTCATTCTAGTTTTTATACCAAAAAATGGTAAAAAATGCAATTATGGTACCTAAAAATAACTGCAAAATTGAGTTCTTTTTTTGTGTGTTACAAATAAGGCCTACAATATTTTATGGGACAAAATAGTAATACAAGGGAATTTCACTGTTCCCTGGTGATACGATATGTTTACCTACACTTGCCCCACAAAATGCCGTACACGTGGCCCGTGATGCGTTGCGCCTATCAAAATTCCTCAGGATCATATCGATAATAGTCACGTGAGACAAATTGTACCCAAATCCATAAAGTACCCCGTATGTAAAGCAGAACACCACAATGCGTTCGACGAATGATGATATTAAAAGACCCAGACAGCATAGCGAAACTCCGAGAGCGACAGTCATTCGATGACCTAGCGTCTGGAACAGTAAGGTTACCACAACAGACGAACAGCTAAACAAAGCAATCGAAACTGCTCCCGGGACACCTAAAATTGTAAGGGAAAACAAAGGTGACACAAATTGTAGTACTGTAATATACATTCTTACAAATGACTATTATTATTGTCTCAAACTTTTTCGCCAATTGAAAAATCTGTATTCATTCATCAATAAGAGATCTATCATTGCAATACATCATATGTAGGCCTATGTTTGCAAACTGTCAAGAGGGTCAGGCGTGTATCTGTTTTTTCGGAGTATAATTAATTCAGATCCAGAGATGACAATAATTATTGCCAATCAGTTCGCTTATTCATCATGAAATTTCATCACATTTTGTTCACTCCCCTAAATACTAGGATGTGCTGGTAAGATTACACTGAAGATGTAGCTGCACTGCAAAAATTGACATAGGCCTAATTATGTCAAGATTTTTTTTTTATAATAAAACAGTTAGGCCGGCCTAAGTGGTCTCATTAAAATCAGTTGTGATTTCAGATTTATTTCAACCATTCTCATTAGGCCTACTAATTTCAGTAAGGAAAAAATATTTCTGCCGATTAATCGTTCAGACGCGTGCACAGCTCTGGAAGAAATATATTGTAGCACCATTGCGGCCATTCTTTTAAATGTCTTCCCATTATTGGCATAATATATTGAGTTCATATTTATGTCCATTAAAATATCGTTAACAAATTATTTTACAGTAACACGAGTCTACAAAATATTGGACGAGGACGCTACACACTACAAAAAGCAACACATGTGAGAATTCATTTTTCAAATTAGGCCTACGTAAAGCCTGTTTTCACTAGGCGAATTTATTTGCGCGAATCAAAAGCGTCGGTTCGCTTCCTGAACTCTAATTAGCTGCGCATTTTTCGCTTTGCAAAAAGTAGAAACAGTTCGAACTACCGATTTCGTTGAAGCGGAAACTCCTATAGAAATGTGAATGCGCATGAACGACGCTTTTGAATCGCGCGAATAAATTCGCCTAGTGGAAAACCGGCTATTATACCCATTTCACACTGATGCTATTTTGCAAATATTAACAACTTGTAACAAGTTGTAACCAGGTTTGGATGAGTGTGAAAGCAAAATCCTTGAAAACTTTCCGAGATTTCACAGGGGTCCCGAGTTATCTCGGAACAAAAAAACAGACCATCGCGAGGCCTGTTTTTTTCCCAAAATCTTCCGAGTTGTTGTTGCGCATGCGTTATGTCCATATTTTGACCTTTTTGCGGACTGTGTTTTTTTTTTTTTTTTAGTTCGAACGAATGGGGGCAGAGATGGAAAACGTATCAACATTACTACCATTTGTTAATAGGCCTAGACCTAAAATCAAAAGAAATCTCGCTAAATTTCACATGTCTGATGTAGAAACAATCACGAGGCTTCGTAAAATACGCCGACAGCGAATCATTATGATGCTTGTCGCACTGATTGCCTCTAACAACAATGGTGAGCTACCGTACCGGCCGGCGGCCCGACTGCGCCTAGCTAGCCTCTAGGCCTATCTTTCTCGCCAGCTTGACTACAGCAAGCGAGCTAGGAGTTGAATTCGTTTTACTCTCCGAAGACTAAGGACCATGGAATAATTATAATCTTGTTAATTCGGTACCAGGCCTAGTTTAGTAGTTGATATGTAATTCGGACAACCTACAACTAGCCTAGGCCTACTGTACTACCCTAGACCTCTAGTCATAATATTCTTCCGAGTTTTCCCGAGATTTCTCATGGTTTGAAAGTGCATGTGTAAAACGAACCAAAAATCTCGGAATATCAAACTTGTTACAACTTGTTAATAGTTGTTAAAAGTTGTAATATTTTCTGCTAGTGTTAAATGGGTATAAGAGGCCGGTTCCCACTAAAGGCCGGTTCCCACTAAACTTGTCATAGTCCACCAGAAATACGGATTTGAAGCACCGAAG